TCCCTTCTCCCACGGTCTCTCACAGCCAATAGATCAGTGTAAGAGCAAACCTGTGACGTCGGGTCATGATATACTGTGACTTGACTTTAAGTGTGTGTACAGGTCGGAATCTCTCTGTACGTGTAGACAGAAGCACTGAGGTTGTAGGCTAACACACAATGCCAGACGCTTCCAATTACATGTCTGTATCTGTCAGGGGGCCTCCGAGCTTTGCCCTTTATGAAAACAACGAGCGGCATAAGAGCACGCGAGGCCGCCGCGGTCTGGACGGCATGGGCTGTTTCCAGCCCTGAGAAGCTTTCCGTGCTCATCCAGGAGCTGATCATGTCTCAGCTTCTTCTGTCTTAAATTTGAGACAGAATTACTATAAAGCAGTATAGGGAATCTTTAAAATTTCAATTTGTGATCTTCCCGAGAGGAAAATAATTTTCCTAATGTAGTTGCAAGCTTTTCTTGTTTTCACTAGTTTGTATGTTACCAAAAACCCAATTCACACAGGATTGTGTTCACATAATTAATGCATGACCCCACTCTTAGATTAAGTTTGTAGATTTTGTAGAATTTGTACTGAGGGTCACAGCTAACACTGAGGACACTGAGGTCATGTCCCAAATACTGTCTCTGGGTATTTGAGGGTTTTAATGACCTGAGGAGGAATCTCTCTCTGTTGACTCATCTAGGCCAAAACCTAAATTAAAAAAAAAATTAGAAAATATATATTTTTGTATTTCTCACCATATTCTATATAAAGAAGGATTGAAACAGTTGTTAGAACGTCAAGCAGGGAGATAAAATTTACACAATATGACATTTTTTATTTAAATTTTAGTAGCAACCGACTCTGCATTTTACTGCTTTTTGCACGATACTCACTTTCCCCTTTTCTAATTTGGCTAGCATCTAGTTCTTATAAAAATTGTGTTAGTAATGAACTGTTGTGCATAACTTTGTGTGGCCTGCCTTGTATGTTTGTCAGTTTCAGTTGTGATCTGCTGAGGGATTGCAGCAGGAAAATCCCTCAGAGATAAATCTTTTTAAATAAACATGATAATGAAGATTTTAGAAGTTATCAGTTTTAAAGCTAAATCTAAAACAATGAACATATTGATAACCTTCTGGGGGATTAATTAGAGAGAAACAGAGACAGCCAGTGGTGATGTGAAAGATTCAAACTGCATTTATATGACACACAGATTCAGATACAGAGTTACAAATTGTAATTTCAGCTGATTTTTAAGATTTGTGCTGTAGTTTCCTGCCTATATCACATACTGTTTATTTTTTCATCAGATGTACACAACATCATCTCATAACCATTACTTCTGTTGTACATATCAAACAAAAAACACATCCTATTAAAAGGGACATCCCTACATCCTCTTTTCTATGAAAAGGTAAATTTCCTGAGAAGCAATAGTCACCAGGATAAAAAACTGATGTCTGAAATTAAACTTGAGATTGAAAACCGCAGTGGTCAGCTGGACAATTTTGGACATTGCATTTCCTTTGTTCTATTTTGCATCCGCATATTCATAATTTCCTTTCTTGGCTGTGTCTATAGATGGAAAACAGGCCCAGATCTGACCAAATGGAGGAACTGAGCTGTAATATCTTGTCCTTTATAATAGTTGCCACTGTAATAATGTTCAGTTTTACATACTGTATCTATACAATTACATTTATGACCCCATTTTCAGAATGTATTCTTGAATGCGTTTTGGTTCTTTTATCAGCTCATTTGAATTAAAGTTTTCATTTAGTGTCATTGAAGAAGCTCTAGATAGTGTCTTTATGACATCAAAAAGCTTCTGTCTCTGCAGTGTGCAGCAAGTTGCTCAGCTGTTACAGACATTATTATGTGGTTTCCATGATTCTCTTTTTTGAGATTACAGCAGAGAGTGACAGGAAACACAGGGAGACATAATGGGACGTAGTGGCCATGTGGCTTCCCACTTCACTCGATGAACCAGAAAAAAAAATTCCCCATGAGGTTTTAAAAGTAAAAGCAGTGAGTAAAAGTGTTGTGAAAAGTGGTCTTAATTGATCCTGACTGGATGCTCAGATAGTGCAAACTACATTGGAAGCATCAGCAGCAAGACAGTCCAGACTAATTCCAGCAATGTCTTTGCTGCTTGTTTGAAATGATGGAAAACAAATTAAATTCAGTTTTAAGCATCTCTTCATCCAAACTCTTTGATTGTTGTTTTTATGAAGGGGATACTGCAGTGTTCTTGTACGTTTTATTGTCATGTTGCTTCCAATTGCATCTGCATTTGTTCCAACTATTTTCCACAACAGACCAGAGTGTTTTAGATTTTTGATGACTTTTGCCACAGACGTTGGTTTCCATTCATTTCACAATTAATTCTGCCTATAAGGTAGAAACACACTCAGCGATGTAAAACATTATGGTGTGCTTTGGAAAATGCAATGCAATGCAATGTTTGTTATTATGTTATTATTATTTGTAGTCAGGTTGGCATGGCATTTGGGATAGAAGTGTTGATCAGTCCAGATTTGTTTTTAGAATGAAATATAGGGGCAAATATTTGGCACATTGATATGAAATGTTGTACAAATGTGTTTGAAGATTATTCATCCCTACAAACTGTGTCTGAGGGGTTTAAAGTGTGAATCTTGAATCAAAATGCACCTGGTTTGTGTCTGTCTTGATGTCCATGTCATTCCCCTCTCTCTCTATCTCTCTCTCTCCCATCATTTCTCTACTCTCTATGTGTAAAATCTCTAATAAAGGCATAAAATACATAAAATACCAAACACATACCAATTGCAAAATGCACTGCATGTTAACATGTTGAATGTTACACAGTAAATATCATCATATTAGCATCCATATTCATAAGGATTATAAACTTAGATGTCCTAAAATGGCCACCCAACCAGACCACACTTGTTATTCATTATTTATTTGCCCCACTGGTGGTAAGTATGTAAGACCAGCAGAGTTCTCAGTGTTCAATCCATCCAGCATTTTTGCTTTCTGCTAACGTGACACTTAGTTAGTAAATCAGCAAAACATGTATGAACTCTGGTTTGGCGGTTTAATCACCTGTAACAGAGGTCCTTTACTTTACTGTGGTAGAGGAATAAACTCCCTGCTGGATGTAGCTTTAATTACATCACACAGCAAGCAGCACCTCCAGTTCAAACAGCCCACACTCATCCTGTCAGCTGCACAGCTCTGCGACATCAGCTGAGGCTCGGCCGCTGCGACGACTGCAGCTTCAAAGCTGCTGCTCGTCTGGCTCACGCCAAAACCAGTTACAGTGGTGGAGAGCAGACCGCCGCCACACAAAGGAAGCTTTGCTTTAATGTTATCAGAGACTGATCCACGTCTGTACTGAGCTGTAATGATGCTGTATTTCCCTGCCTGTCTGACAATGGCCTTATGGCTTTTATAAGCAGGCCCTAATACAACTATACACCATTAGAGAGCCACTTTTATTACGTTTCCAGCCCTGCAGAAGCCCATTCATCTCCAGCGAGATGGATTGCTCTTGTTTTTGTGATCATCATGATGAATGAGTATGTTTCCCTCTGGCAATGGAGAGGGGGTAGATGGTGCCTGCATGGGGATGAGCATCTCTGTGCAGAATTGGGAGGGCACAAAACAGAATATTTTTTATCTAGTTCATTAAAAAATAGAATTAAAAAATACTTTACCCAATTTCCATGAGGGTGCTGGATTTGTATCTGTTTTTGTTGGTTTTAGGTGTCTTTGCTGCTGTTTCTGAGGAACTGTACAGTATATGAGCTGAATGTGGCCTCTTGGCCATGCTGTGTTACTTACTACTACTACTTATTAAGCTCTCAATACATATCAGTATATATTTAAAAACTTGTGACTTATTACTTATTTGTACTTATTGTACCTATTGTGACTATTATATGCAAATGTATTATTTCATATAAACCTCTCTGAAGATAACAATGTTGTAATTATGTTATTAGCCAGTAAAAGGATCGTGTGAAACATAAAGAGAAATACTTTTGCATGTTTTGTGTTTAGCTATATCAAGCTGTACAGTGAAATATCCAAAGATTTTTTTACAGATATTATTATTTATGGCTCCACTATTAGATCAAATGGAAAGATCTTGATATCTTGTGCTTTATTTTGCAAACCTTGGTAATTCAACTTGACATATTTGGTACCTCTGGAAACTTCTTTTGCTATACAGTAGAATTTCCACTGCTGAATTTGTAACCGGGGAACCTTACAGGTTAGATTATTATTAAGATCCTTCCTTACTTTCAGGCAATATCTTATGAAGACGAGACAACACATCCTCATCTTCAGTCTGTACTTTGATAGTTTAAGTGCTTCCAGTCTGTGTAATGCTCCCTCGGACATCTGAGGACACAGGACACACTGACAGTTGTGGCATTTAGCTCTTTATCCACAGCAGTAAGTAACAGCTCCGTCTGTTCAGACCATAAACTCTTTATCAGGACCAAAGCAACCGGTTTGGACATTCCTCTTTTCTGTCTTTGTGTTGTTCACTGTGTTTTGTTTATTTGAAACAGAGTTGTAAAAGATGTTCTAAACCTGGTCCTGGTGTGGGGTCAGACTGCTGCCAAGGCTTTGATGAACAACTGTAACTGCAGAGCACCCCCACCGCCACCCACCCCTCATCCCCATCCATACACCCCCTCAACCACCCAAAACCCCAAATCTAAATGGGGCGCTTTGATGTGGCTGGATGGTGCCTGTTGTTATTGTTTGTATCAGGGCTTATCACCCCCAACCCCCTACCCCCCTCCTCACCCTCCTCACCCTCCACCTTACCCCCATCCTGACCACAACCCCACACAGGCACACACACACACCTCTTAGTGCATCATAAAGGTCGTAAAAGGTTTTGGCATGACTTTATATTTTTTTGCCTGTTATTTCATCAAGTAAAAACACAGACCGCTTTTTTTCTTCTTCTTTTCCTTTTTCTCTTTCTTTTCGTCTTCTTCTCTCCTCTCCTCAGTAGAGCCAGGCTCTCCCTGATAAGGATGATGGATGGGGCAGAACTCTGGCTCCAGCCAAGCCCGGCAGCTTCCTGGGAGCTGAGAGATACTGAGGGGGAGGTGGGGAGGTGTGTGTTGGGGGGGGGGGTGATTGCTTACTCAGTGCTGTCCATAGGACTACAAAATAAAATAATAATCTAAAAGCTGTGTCTCCTCCACTTGTTCTAGATCATCATCGACCGTGAGGAGTTAGCCATGAGGCATTGTGAAACTAGCAATGAAAGCGGCAACACAAATCACCTGATTTTAAGGAAAAGTGGCATGTGGAGCCCAGTGTTTTGGTCCTGAATATATAAGAATTTGAGTTTAATCTGCTGAAAACAACACCAACAACAAGTTTTTGAAAGCAAAATAGATTTGACATTTGTATAAACTAGTGTTTTGTTCTTTCTTTCAATTCCAGATGTCAAGAATAAAGCTGTAATGTTTTGAGAAGAGCAGTAGAGTCACAAAGTCCACTGGGTTTTAATCCTATTCTGATTAACTTGTGTTTTGATCTCTGTGCTCTCCATTCCCCATTGCTGTAAAACACGTCTGATTATCGACTCAACATCATGTTATCAGTTTCATTTAATTTCAATATCCTAAACTTTCAGATAATAATGTGCCCGTTGGTTTAACCTTTAACTTCAGGTCATTCACATCTCTCATTTGACTTAATCCTCATCCTCAAAATCAAAAAAAAAAAGACAATGTTTTTGTCTTGCACTGGCCCTAATACTGCAAAATTCATGAATCATGGTAAAGTTTGAAGAAAATTTATTTTTTTCATGCATCACAACCAAAGAAGTACAATGATGTGGGGTGACTGGTGTTGCTTCATGTCATCATACATCCCAGAGTCTTCCAGACTGACAGACTTGTTTAAGGTCTTGTTCTTTTGGGTTCTCAACCTTTTTGCTGTCAAGCACCCCCAATTTGATACACATTAGGATTTAGTATTTGATGTGTGAAACAGTCACTCTTATTCATTCTCTAATTCTAATCTTCTCCATGAAAAGTGGGAATTAAAATATTCCCCCCTGGTTGACACCCACTGCTCTAGTCAAATCTTAAATTCACACAGGCACTAAATGAGGAATGAGTTTAAAACGGCCAATTTCTGTTCCAGAGACAAGAAAGCCAGAGGTGATGGCTCCCCTCCCCTGTGCATATCACTGCACCTCATTAAAAACATTTCACATTCTCTAGAGCTCCATATTCATATTTATTTAATCTAACTACAACTTCCCGTCAGACTCATTATGTCACATCCCCTTGTTTGTGGAAACTTAGCCATCCAAAGAAAGAGGTCCAGGCTCTATCTCTTACTGTAACTGTGGTGTATAACCTCCCGGCCACACAGTGCCGTCCCGCTGGAAAATTGTGATTACGTTAATGATTTGTTTGGGTTTCAGGAAGACAGAGGAGGAAAGCCAAGCAAATATACTGTTAAATAAAAAGCCTAATCCGTGTTTACATCCCAAGCAAAGACGAGATAATGTTTCCCACAGACATGCTTTTTAAAACAAATTTTGACCAGTTCTGTCTGTGCTGCCAGGATTAAGGGTGCAATGTCTGCAAGCTGGAAGATGCATTGACCTGCTGTCGTATCTCGCCACGATCAGAAACATTGACAGGGAAGGCGGCCAGGAGGCTGGCAACTGTGACCTTAAACAAAATTTGTGTGTGTCCTCATGTCTTTGTCTTTGTCTGGGACTTAAATTCCCTCCATACACACCTCAGCTCTGTCACACTTCTGATACACCCAGAGATACAGCCAAGGGACAACTTTTATTTCCCAGAATTCCTCCATTTCCCCATAAGGTGTGCGCTCACAGCTCACGATGATGATTTAGGGGTGTTTATCCCCGCTCGCTTAAACATTTACTTTTCAGCACAAGGTGAAGCTGAGAAGAAAAATGTCTCTCTGCGGGGTTCAACCTCTGGAGGATTTAACACCATCTCTCCCCCCTCTACGCTGCTGACGTTTACAAGCAACTCGTGATGGCACCCAAAGAATCATGGGATACATATTAGGGCTCGTCTGGCTGTCGGAGTGTCCGATGGCGTGCAAGTATGTTTTGTAAGGTCACTCACGGAAGTACATCGCATTTTGGTTTGATTGCTGCATCGTGTCTGGGAGGCGCCTCCATTTTTCATCGCAACACATTGTTTTGATCCAGTTCCTCTTTTTAATGACCCATAATCCTTTACTGTAAAACGGCTGGAAGGAGATCCAAAGACCCCTGCTAAGTGACTTATTATCAGTTTATGCTTTAGGATGGAGAATAAATAAATGAACATTTCTCTGCACGCCCTGAACCTTCACCTTTTTATGTTCTTCTGAGATTCTTTACTCCTTCTTTGCCCTTTTATTGCTTCTTTTGTCTCTATTCTAAATGTTCTTCCTTCACTCCCCCTCATATCTCTCCCCCCCTCTCTTTTTTTTCTGCTCCACCTCCTGTGTTAAGCCTTGATAATATGCAACACCTTGAGCTTTTTAAGAGGCTGCAGTTTCAGAGAAATTACTCCAGAGATGCTGCTGGATGTTAAGTGCAGAGATGTGTTTCTGGATACCCAGCTTTCTTCGACTCCATTAAGGATCAGGACATGGGGGTCGCTGGAGGGGATGGGGTTTTAAGTAGGGCCAGATTAGGGTCAAAATTGTAATTAAGAACAGTGATTGTCCTAAAGCCCTTAATGTATCAGATGTTTAAGTTAAACTGAGTAAAAAAGTAAAGTTTGATACATTTTCAGTCACAGAAACCTAAAATAACTTTCAGGTTTTAATTCATGTTATGCATGTAGGGGAGGACGCATGTGTGTGGGTGTGTGTGTATGTATGTTTAGGGGGTGGGGGTCCCAGTAATGGGGGGTTTAGCTGAGACACATTACGACATGTGGAGGAAAAAGGTCGAGCATGATTAGTGACCGCTTTAATGGTATAATGTCGCCTCTATTTCAGTGTTCCTGGAGGAAAAGGGAGGGTGTGTGTGTGTGTGTGTGTGTGTGTGTGTGTGTGTGTGTGTGTGTGTCCTGGTGGAATGCGTGGACAAGAAAGTGTGTGCATGCAATGTATCAACCACTAACTCCAGTTCACACATACCTAACTTTTGTATCATCTATGAAAATTAATGGGATTTTTTTTTCACACAATTCACACAATGAATTTCCGTGCAGTGACATCATCTTTCTGCTGCCCCAGCTGTTAAGTAGCGGTTGGACTTTCTAAGGGGTATTGTTATTTAGGTTGGTTTATGTTGTAAATGTCCAGTGTGTAACATTTAGGAGGACCTACTGGCAGCAATGGAATATAATATGCTATAATCACTTGACTTATCTTAGACTGAGCCTTTTAAATCTATTGCCACAGGTCATCTTCCATAGAGGCTGTCATGTTTCAACAGTAGTCCAGAATGGACAAACCAAACTCTGGATAGATAAGGCCTATCACATTTTTCCCATGTTTTTCGTCCACCGTAGTTTCTCCTTCACATTTGGAAGGGGAGTATGAAGGGAGGGGGTTGCAATCTGCAACTACACCTCTAGATGCCACTAAATCCTACACACTGGACCTTTAAAAAGAAAAAAAATTCAATTCAATTCAATTTTATTTGTATAGTGCCAATTCATAACAGAAGTTATCTCAGGACACTTTTCAAATAGAGACGGTTTAGACCGAACTCCTTAAAACATTATTTACAGAGACCCAACAGTTCCCGCCATGAGCAAGCACTTGGCAACTTCAAACTTGTTTCCTAGAAATTACATTTATATAACACTGATTTGCAAATGCAAATAAGTTTTGAAAGATGCTGCCCAGATACACTTTTTAATCAATGAAATAGGAGAAAAAAAATCACATTTGATATTCTGATATTAACTTCAAAAGTAAATTGAAGCATGATAATGGGAGTCATTAACTTAACTGAAACCATGATCTTTCATTAACCTGCCTTAAGCAAAGTGCTTTTGTTGCCTAATCTTAACCACCCTCCACGCTACAAAACACTGCATTACCCTCATTGGAAAAGACCCTGCCACTAAACATTTCATGGATGTGTGTTTATTAGTAATATTAAATCAGAATTTATAGCAGACAAGGTTGCATATAACTTTACTTTCATGTAAAATATGTTATAAAAGACGCGGCTGCTTCCCAGATGCACCAACTGGAGACACATTGCATTTACAGTTTGCATGTAATATGATTAAGAGTAGTTTGGACAATCATATGATACAGTCCCTTCTAAGTGCATCTTAAGGGCATATTCAGCCATGTTGGTAAGATTGATCTGATTACCCTGCAATCAAAAAGACAATATTGGACACATAATTGATGAACTGATATATTACTCCAACCCTTCCTCCTCCACTGTCAGTACCAGGTTTTCTCCAAGTGCGTTCATGTGTGTGTGTGTGTGTGTGTGTGTGTGTGTGTGTGTGTGTGTGTGTGTGTGTGTGTGTGTGTGAACAGTGACAGACATGGCGTCCGCTGACAGCCCGGCTCGGCCTTATCTGCACAGCAGGAGTGACGTTAGAGAACCAGGAGGGGGGAGGAGGGAAGAGAGAGGGACAGATAGAGAGGTGGAGGTGTGTGTGTGTGTGTGTGTGTGTGTGTGTGTGTGTGTGTGTAGGTGTGTGTGTGCGTGTGTTTCGCTTTTCAACACACACTTGTCACAGTGTTCCTCACTTTTATTTCTCCTCATCTGTTGCCCGGCCACTTTCTGACCCTGTGACCGCTGACACGACTCTTTATCATTGGTTGAATGTGACGCTGGTGGTCTCATGTTGTAGCCCACTTACTGTGAGTGACCATACAAAACCATGTCAACTTAATGCCTAAAATGGAGATGGAAAAGAAATAAAGGAGACATATTTATTATAATTGCAGATAGAGTTCATTATGGTTATATTATATACCGCCTATTAAAGCCACTGTGCAGTCCGATCTGCAGGCTACCGAGGACATCACCAGCACTCACGAGGGCACCTCTGTGGTTCACTTTCCTCACCCCAGATTTAACCTGCTGGTCTGGGAATCAATCTGCTGGTCTTCCAGTCACAAACCCACTTCTCTAGCCTCTAACCTTCTCTAACTTTATTACCTTTTCACCACCATTGCCTAAAACTTGATTGTAACATATTTCAAATTATTCAAATTGCATAATTTTTTGTTTAAACATGAGACAACAATGGCTGTAACATAATTGG